GCTCAGAGCCTGGAGCCTGCTTCAGATTCTGTGTCTCCCTCTCTCTCTGGCCCTCCCCCCATTCATGCTCTGTCTCTGTCTCAAAAATAAATAAATGTTAAAAATTTTTTAAAAATTTGTTTATGTTTATTTAGAGAAATAAGAGAAATAAGAGAAAGAGAGTAACGGAGCACAAGTGGGGGAGGGGTAGAGAGTGAGGGAGACACAGGATCCGAAGCAGGTTCCAGGCTCTGAGCTGTCAGCACAGATCCGGATGTGGGGCTCGAACCCACAAACCATGAGATCATGACCTGAGCCAAAGTAGGTCGTCCAACCGACTGAGCCACCCAGGTGCCCCAATAAGAGACTTAAATACAGAGAACAAACTCAGGGTTGCTGGAGGGGAGGTGGGTGGGAGATGGACTAAATGGGTGATTGGCAATAAGGACGGTACTTTTCAGGATGAGTGCTGGGTGTCATGCATAAGAGATGAATCACTGGGTTCTACTCCTGAAGCCAAGACCACACTGTATGTTAACTAACTTGAGAATATAAAAACAAAACAAAACAAAACAAAACCCAAACCCAAAAACAAAAACTAAAAAAATTCATTGTCAATGAATACTGTTTCTACCTTCCATTGTCTTTCTTCTCCTTGTCATTTCAATTGAAGCCACTCCCACTTGAAATCTTCACTAGCACCCCAGGGCCTACGTCTGGGAATTGAAACTTCTTGGCCTCTAAGATCTGAATCTGACTTGGCTTTTCAGATGCATCTACACAGATGTCCCCTCTCCATCCTCCACTGAGCCATCCTACCTGCCAATCCCTGCACTGGGTCTCATCCCACCTCTGTCCTTTGTGCTTCTTTGCACACTGTTTTCTTTAGTTCAATACTTTGAGCTTTCATTTTTTTACCTTTAAATTTTTTTTAATGTTTATTTATTTTGAGAGAGTGAGAGACAGAGCATGAGCAGGGGAGGGCAGAGAGAGCGGCAGACACAGAATCCAAAGCAGGTTCCAGGCTCCAGGCTCTGAGCTGTCAGCACAGAGCCCGACACAGGGCTCGAACCCACAAACTGTGAGATCATGACCTGAGCTGAAGTCGGACGCCTAACTGACTGAGCCACCCAGGCGCCCCTCATTTTTTACCTTTAAACATCTTAGTCATTGTTCCAGGTCTATCTCGATGAGCACTTCCTTGGAGAAAACTTTGTTTTGTTTTTGTTACAGGTTCTTATTCGTTCTTATTTGTTTTACACTTGTCCAATCCATTTCTTATTCTCTTCTTCTCCTAGGTTCCCATGGCATTTTGTTCACATTCGTACATGTATGTATTGACAATATGATTTACTTTTGTGCCCTACAAATTTTAAAGTTCTGGAGAACAAGGACCATATTTGGTTCAGTTTTGCATTTCTCATGGCCCATGACTATTTGATAACTTAATAGAACTGAATTTACTTATTTGAATCATAAACTGATGTTTGAAGAAGCTCAACAATGCAAACATGAAGATTCATGAGGTACATTGCATTTTTTTTTCATTCCTAGTCAGAGAAAAATAACTTCTAGTATCAGGTAAACAAGGAACACTGGGCTTTGGAATATTTTTGTCTCCACTTCCATACCTATGCCCCTTTTAAGATGAAAAGAAATTTGAAGCTACGGTATTTGGAAGGCTCATCAAATTTTGTAGGTTAATCAATAGCCATAACCATTTATGAACTTAATCTTTGTATTCACAGGGTAACATTTTTCTAGTTCACAAAAAGTTAATCACTATTGTTTAGAAATAAAGATTAATTTAGACAAGCTGAGGGAGTGTAATTCTGCCAACTTTATAATCTTAAGAATTTAAAGGACAGTTTCTGAAATGGAATGCACGTGTGCCTGTGTGTCTCCTCTTGTGCATGAAGACCAACGTATTAAAAAGAGTCTCGGGTAGTAAAAGCAAGACCTTACTGATATTCCTTCCTAGATCTAGACTAGATCTAACTAGATCTAACTCTTTCCTAGATCTAACTCTTTCCAGTGTTGCTTGGCTGTTAAGAGTTTTTTCATGGTTGGGGCGTCTGCCCCTCCCCCACTCACACTCTGTCTCTCTCTCTCTCTCTCTCTCTCTCAAAAAATAAATAAACATTAAAAAAAATTTTTTAAAGAGTTTTTTCATGGTTTAGGCAAATTATAATTTTCTCCAACATTATTGCAGCCATGCTCTATGGAACAGTATTTTCCACCCTAGATCTTCTATTTGGCTGCCAGTTAGTGTCACCCAGTCATATTCAGCTCTGCCTCTAGGTACTCCCCTTGCCAACCTATATAAAAAGGTGGAGCGGCCACTGGGCCATGTACCTTTCAGGTTAGATATTCTCTTTTTTTGTAGAGAATCTTAAACTATCCTCATTTTAATTGATATATAAAGCATATGAATTAATCAACATATCAAAGTTTCTACCCTTAAGTTTTGACCAGCAACAATGATCTTGACCCTTCTGTCTGAAAACTGTCAGTAGCCTACAGTAAGTAATGTTTATGAGGGCTGCCTAAAAGATGTGCATGCAATAATACCTCCATCACTACAAATCAGAGATGCCAGATAGATTGTCGTAGCCACTCATCCATCCTACACCCACAACAGAAACTGTTAATCTACTTCAGAACTTTTTCCTTCTGAGTGTGGTCAGCCACAACACTTCCCAACAGTTATTCAGTCAGTTGACAAGTTGAAACTTACTTGCCGTCATGGGCAATAATGATCTATGCGCTGCCCTGAATAAAGCCATACCACTGGGGGCCTGTGATCTCAAATGAACAGAAAAGTTTGGGCGGTTCATAGAATGGATTCAATACTTTGTGATTGTGGCAACAGTTTACATTGAGGGGATCTGTATGAAACTCCTCTTGGCACTTGTTTCCTACTATCCCAGTTCCCAGTATCATCATTATGAGGCGCTCCATAGGGGCGTGAGAACATTCTGGAAGCAGACACCCGTGGGGGTTACAGCACCGTGAGTGAGCTTCCACTGGGACTAAAAATCAAGAAAACCTGCTTTTCAAAAACAACCAACGAATCAAACAAACAGATGAATCTGGAGGGCATTTTGCTAAGTGAAGTAAGTCAGACAGACAAAGACAAATACCATAAGATCTCACTTACATGTGAAATCTAAAAAACAAATAAATGAAAAACTAAACTCATACAGATAATAGATTGTTGGATGCCCAAGACAGGGAGTAGGGGGGAGGGCAAAATGGGTGAAGATGGTCAAAAGGTACAAACTTCCAGTTACAAAATAAGTTATGGGATGTAGTCCACAAAATGGTAACTGTATATTTGAAATTTGCTAAATCTTAAAAAGTTCTTATAAGAAAAATTGTAACTATGTATGACAAAGGATGTTTACTAGAGGTATTGTGGTGATCATTTCACAATATACACAAATATTGAATCAAGTTTTATACTTGAAACTAATATAATGTTATACGTCAATCAATTAAAAAAAAAAAAAAGAGGCCAGCACTTACCAAGTCCTTTTCCACCTATTCTGACCCCCTGGCCACACCTTAACTCTCTCTCATCAATTCTTGTCTCATCCAAACCCAAGTAGGAAAACTTCAGTCTGTAAGTTCCTTGAGGTTTGTCTTGTCACTGGAATTTACTACTCCAAAATACAATTTAAATGAATAGCTGAATGCCTAATGGTTAAGTGCCTTTCTCACATAAGTGCCCGATTCAGATTTGTGGACAGAAAAAAAAAGGTAATAACCTCTTCACTTTTTTCTTGTGGAACCACAATTATAAACGGAGGGAGTAAAGAGGATTAATCTCAGAGCAGGGGGTCTGCAAACAGAGGCCTAAATGTTGTGTTGTCTGGACAGGCCCTAGACAGAAGGGCACTAGGGGCCTAGAAAAAGTCATCTGAAGGAGACGTCAGAAGTAGAGGAGTGTGTTTAATACTCCGTCCATCTGCCTAGCATTTAAGGTCGGCTGAAGGGATGGTAAGAACACAGATCCACTCAGTGCCCAGTTATGTTTCCTATCCAGTGTCTGCTCGTGGAGCTGTGCTGTTTGCAGCTGGCAGAAAGTCTACTTTCAGATGAGAATCAGTGATCCAAAGACTCGTTTCATTCTATAATTGCCAGTGACGTCTAGCTCCGAGGCGTGGGCGGTTTTCTCTGGAAACAAGGGGGCTCCTCCCGCTCTGAGCGCCTTCCCAAGATCCAGTCCCGCCACCAGAGGGAGAGCAGGAGAGCGTGGACTGGTCAGAGCGGACCCAAAAGAGGAGGCCTGAGAACTCAGGGAGTGGCCATCACCGAACGCCAGAATATGCGCGTGCGCGGCATCAGCCTGGCCAATATGGATCGTGGGGTGGTGCCATGTGGCGTGGGCGGAGAGCTGGGATTGGCCATGCGTGAGGGTGTGTAAAGCAGGGAAAGGATGTGACCGGAGTGAGAGGCGGGCCTGGACACCGTGGGAAGGAGTGTCTGCGACGGCCCAGCCGGGAAGGGCGTGGCCTAGGCGTTGACCAGGGGCATAACCTGAAAAAGTAGGATTTAGCGCGTGAAGGGCTTGGCGTGGCCGCTCGTAAGGGGACTACAAAGTCGGTCCAGACTGCGGGAGGGCTGAGCTCAGGCAGAGAGCAGAGGAATTACCAGAGTGGAAAGCAGGGACGTAGGCATAAGAGAAGGACCTGGGGCTCAGAGAAATGAGCGTGACCCTGGGGACAAGCATGTGAAAAGACCTGTGGGCGGGGGAGGGCGGCACGGAGTAGCGTAAGGGACGCAAATTACGTAACAGGAAGAAGGGCCGTGATATAGGCGGAGCGCAAGGGCGTACCTTGAACGTGGGGGCGCGACACGTTTGTGAGGGCGTGACAAAGACGGTCCCGCTCAAAGGAGGGGTGGGCCCATACGTAGGACGGAGGCGGGGCCACGTTGGCGGGCAGGCGCCTGACCGCGGCTGCAGACCCAGAGCGATGGCAGCGTAGGTGTAGCCAGGGCAGAGAACAGGTGCGGACCAAGGCTCTGGGTGGAGGGAGAGGTGGTTCAAGCCCTGAGGCAGTGAGCGACTCCAAGGCAGGACTTAAAGGGCTTTGTCGGAGACTTAGGCGGGGCGACGGGGACGTGACGTGTTACGCGCCGTGACGTATTACGCGCCATGACGTGTAGGGCGTGAGGGGCGTGACGAGTCGCGACGGGACGTGGCTAAGATGGCCGCGCGCATGAGTCTCTCCCCGGCGCTGAGTGGAGGGGGTTCGCTCTCAGGGAAATATTCGGGTAAGGTCGGGCTGCGAATGGAGCATGGTGGGTAGGGGGTACATGCTAGAGAGGACAGGGACCCTTTCTCTCAGGACCACGCTCTGCGATGGGCCGTGGAGCTGCGACAAGCTGTCGGTTCCGCGAGGATGGCCGCAGGGCCGGCGGGGCTTTTCTGTAGAATGGAGAGGAGCAGGCGGGAATCGCTGTTTTCCTTCTCTCTGTTCCTCCACTGTGAGGGTCACCATCTACATCCCGTTAGAGTCCTGTCCATTTAACGGTAGAACTGTTGTCTCAGAGACTTTCAGAAATGGGGGGTTGCAGTTCCACAAATCGAGGCGCAGTAAGTTGGGACTCTCTCACACCTGTATCGTTGCTCTTTTCCCCGACCAAGCCAGACACTATGGACAGATTCACAACCACCCCCAGGGCAGGGGATCAGCAGGGTAACTATGTCACGTGGGCATATCTGAGTCTTCTCTACTCCGTTGTCCCCTTTTTCTTTTGTGCCCTGCCCCAAAAATACAAACGTTAGTTGGTGTCTCTGATTCTTTGTGGTATGAGTTGAAAGCTACTGTTTGAGGCTGCTGGAGACTTGTTGTTAGTGTAATTTCTTCTCAAGCTTGGGAAATGTGCGATATTGAAGATGTGTACATTTTAATTTGGATACAATTAATTCATTCTCAGCCACCTAAAGTCACTTTACATTGTGCTACCCCTTCGTCCTTTACTGTGAATCTGGTCATCTCTACTCTGCTATTTAAAAGTCTTGCTGGAGTACGAGCAGAGTCCGGGATCTCTGGTGAGAGAAGCTACCCAACCCTACCGGAAACCTGCCCCTGCACGTCCTTGAGAACTGTCACTGTTCTCAGCCTGCCTTGGAGTCTACAATGAACTTAAAGTTCATTACACCCACCCTCCCTTCTGGGCCTTGGTAAAGAGCTGCATAGTTCTTGAATATTTTGGAAACGAAAACCTTTCAGGGTTCTAGGGCCTTCTTTACTCACAAGTTGCGACCTCAATGTCAGAACTGAAAATCACTTACAGGTGAAAAGTAACACAGGCAGCATTCCTGTGCCTGTACACACCTGCCCTGTTCAGCCAAGCAAAAGATTGCCACCACTCATAGTTGGAACGCAATAAAAATTGGATGAATTTTGACAGAATATGAGTGTTTGGGAAATCTGATGGAAAAAGGGAAATACATTTTATCTCGTTGGCTACACTGGGGCAGTTAGTTGCATCGTACAAACCAAATTAAGAAATGTATTTTGAAACCTTCAGCAGCCCCAGACTGGAATTATGCTTTCAGAGAAGTGGGTAAGAGGAGGAAATCACTTTGTAAAGCAAGACATGGAAACACAACCTCTAATTCACATTTCAGGGAATTGCAACAGTCTGGTTTGCTTTATAAATTAGGAGGTGAGAAAACGAAGGATCAGTTTGATGAGAATCAAGGAATGTTTTTTATCAGTCTGACCTTTAGTGGGTAATTATATTTTGCTGTCTTTTGCATACATACAAATGGCTTAACGAGGTATTTAATAAATACGTGATTTATAAATGATTTTAAAGGCTTTTAGAATCTTTTCTAATTTTTTTTTAAAGATTGTGGGGGCGCCTGGGTGGCGCAGTCGGTTAAGCATCCAACTTCAGCCAGGTCACGATCTCGCGGTCCGTGAGTTCGAGCCCCGCGTCGGGCTCTGGGCTGATGGCTCAGAGCCTGGAGCCTGTTTCCGATTCTGTGTCTCCCTCTCTCTCTGCCCCTCCCCCGTTCATGCTCTGTCTCTCTCTGTCCCAAAAATAAATAAACGTTGAAAAAAAAAATTTAAAGATTGTGTTATTTTTGAGTACTCTCTACACCTGATGCGGGACTTGAATTCACAACCCTAAGATCAAGAGTCGCATGCTCTGCTGACTGAACCAGCCAGGCCGCCCAGAATCTTTTCTAATTCTTAAAACATTTTTAAGTCTCCAAAAGAACAGATCAGAAACGTGTAAGTAAAATCCAAAGACATACATGAATAATCAGTGATAGCAAAGGGCATGTTAGCACACAAAGCTTACCTTCCTTGGGACTCATTTTGTCCCATATTTATGGACAGACATAAGGACAGACACATTGTCCATGAAGTCCAGTAATACATCTTAGCAGTTAATTGTTACATGCTGTGTGTGGGGATTAATTATTATCTGTGGCATCACGGGGTGGGATTTTATAAGATCTGTAGATAAGTTTAAATAACCACCTCTCCAGAAATAATTATTTTTAAATTAAGAACCGTGATTGGCTTAGTGCTGAGCATACATAGTACATACCTATTCTCTAAAGTGTCTTTATTTTTACATTTTGGTGTATAATTTTGTTCTTAAAGCTTTGAAGCCATGGCTGACTCATGATAACTGAATGTTTGGGTGAGCATTGTATTATTATTTGCAATCCCGTTATTTTGAATATGTGTTTTTGGGAAAGAGAAGTATATTTGTTCTAAAACTGTATCTAGCAAACTATTTTTAACTCACTTTATAAAACAGTTGCAGTTTCTTTACATATTACCCATTTTTCTCCTGCTTGTACTACAAAATACAACATGTTGCAAAAATACACTCTACATTTCTATATTCCAGGATTCACCTGGAGCCTATTTAATAATGACTAGTAGTGTATTTTCAATGCTGATGTTTACAATTTGTAGCGTAGGTGCAAATTCATAAACATTCTGATAAATATCTTTTCTCCTGAAGCAGATACCTGGACATAACTAACCTCACGTATTGCTACAGGTATTGTAGCCCAGCATTAGCTAAGTTGACTTTCTGTTTATTTGGATTTCCCTGGAACCCTCTTCACCCCTGACCTTCCATGCTCTGTTCCTTCCTTGATCGCCTTTACTCTTCCTTCTGTCTCTTGGCTTCCTCACTGCATTTTGTCAGCCTCCCTCTATACACCTGTTACTCCTTGGGGAGGGAAGGGAATTTTCTTCTCTCTCTGACCTCGGGACCTCTCCTGAGCACCAGAGCTGCACTGACTCTCTCCTAGACTTTTCCTCCCGCTGTCCCCTTGGACCTCAACTCCGTAAGATTCACGGGAAGAGTGACCTCTTTCCCTTCCCACCTGCTCCTTGAGCCGGCTTATTTCTCTCTCCAGGGACTCATCCTCCTTCTACCGTCAGCGTCATCCCTCCATAAAATCATGGGGCCTTCTTCAACTTCTTCCCTCTTCTGTCTTCCAGTTGAGTGCCGGATCCTAGGTTTTTTTACCCAAATGGCAGTCTCTTGCATACAGAGTACCTTGGTTCATCGCTACTGTCACTCTCCCGTCAGTGCTTCATATTCTGGCACTTGGATTCCTGGAATTTCATTTCAAACTCAAGTGCCCAAATCTGAGCTGCTCCTGTCCCACCCGAAACCTGTTCTGCACACTGTGGTGCTCATCTCGGTTCCTGGCAACTCCGTCCTTCTAGCTGATTAGGCGGAGAATCTTTCAGTCGTCCTTGAGTCCTTTCTTTCACATCTTACGGGCTGTCTCTCCAGGATACAGCCAACACCCAACTGCTTCTCACCACCTCCACTACGACATCCTTTGTTCCAGCCCCTGGATTATTCTGAGTGATCTCCCTGCTTCTTTCCTGCCTCCCATCCCAGTTGATTTCCAGTAGGCACCCTGAATGATCTTTTAAAGATGCAAATCAGGTTGTGTCCTTTCTCTGCTCCCAAAACTCCATTGTGTCCCCCATTTCACTTAGAGCGGGGGTTTCCACTCGGGTGATTCCCCTTCTCCAAGGAACATCAGCAGTGTCAGGACACATTTTTGGTGGTCGTAATGGAGGGAGTGTGTCATCGGCATCTAATGGGTAGGGGCCAGGGATGCTGCTAACCATCGTACAATGTATGGGACAGCCCCAAAACAGAGTTATCTGGTCACATGTCAACAATGTCAAGGGTGAGAAATGCTGAATTAGAGACAGAACCTTTGCAGTGGCCTAGAAATCTACTTGATCTGGCATTCATGATCTCTCCACCTTATCTCCTACTACCGTCCTGCTAGTCCACTCTGCTCCTGCCGTGTTGGGCTCCTTACTATCCCTTGCATGTGCCAGCCATGCTCCCGCCTCAGGATCTCTGCATAGGCAATTCCGTCTTCCTGGAATGCCCTTCCCCCGATAGCCCCAGAACTAATTCCTTCATTTCCTTCAACTTTTTGCTCAAACTTCACCTTCTCAGTAAGGCCGCCTTCAAGCGATTTATTTCAAAAACAACACTCCTTTCCCGGTGGCACTCCAGAGTCAGCTCATCCTGCTCTACTTTTCACTGAATTTATTTTAATTGTCCGTGCAACTGACTTATGTGTTACGTTGCTGTTTATTATCTGTCTCCCCGACTAGAATGTCATTTCCACCAGGATAGGGACTTTGTTTTATTTCCTCGGTGATCCGAGAATAGTGTCTGGCATTTGGTAGCTGCTCGATTGACGTCCTGATGAATGAAAGGATGAAAGAGTGATGGATCGAATGAAGGATGGTTGGAGGAATCTCCTTGTCACGGACCTTCCCGCGTCCGTTCTGCCCACTCCCATCCATCCTGCGCTGTGCGCATGGAGTCCTCAGAAACCATCCTGTATATGTGGAATAATACCTGAGGGTCTTCCAGCCTCCTGGAAATTCATATTCTTCAAGTTAATCTCCAGTCCCATCCAGCTTCACCTTCAGCTGCGTCACCTGGGCATCTGCTTGGCCAGCACCTTAACAAATATTCATAACAGACTTGGGATAATGGGAAATTCAGATACATTTGGCTTTGTAACAAAACGGGATTTTTTGGTCTAAAAACACAATAAAATAATCCTCAGAGACCATGTTCACTGCAGTGAGGTCAGCAGCATTCTTAGAAGACAGAGAAATGGTTCAGGTTTCTAGACCCTGCGCACAGCCCACTACTTGGTGGGCTTTGTGAAAGAAGATGACCAAGAGCTGAGGGTACCAGCAGGCTCGCTGGAACTTTGTGTACTCCTTACCCCTAGAGAGCGAGTCCAGAAGTGGGCAGGAGATACTTCCTCTGGGCCGGGTGTCATCAGCCACCAGCCTCAGTGTCGTGCACAGACAGCATGACTACAGAAAGCAGGGCAGTCGCCCAAGGAATGAGCACAGCCCTGGCCATGCCACGGTACTTTCCTGATGGCTCTCTGTGGAGCTAGACCAAGGATCATTCACCCAGACTTCGCTGGGCACCACGCTCACATGCTTCAGATCCCCACACAGCCTCTTATGCAGGGCCAAGTGAGTACCCACTTGTCTGTACAACTCCCCTGGCAGTCAGACACGCACTTGGCTGTGTCTTATCACAACTTTCCCTTTGAAGGACAACCAGCATGTCCCTTCTTTTGAGTATATGTTGTACTTATCATTGGGTTCCTGGGAATTACTAAGTCTCCTTTTCCATTTAGATTGTTAAGCAAGAAAGGAGTCCTTTTCGATATGTTTGCCAACCTCTCTCTGACACTGGGATTGATTATTGAATAAGCCCAAGGTTCTACCCATTTCAACCTCAGTTGTCCTCTCCAGCCTTGACTACTAAACACTCCTGCCTCCCCAAATGTCCTCATCATCCCTGACATTACCCCTATCTCTCTAGCTTTGCCTCTCCTGTTCAAATTGTCTCTCTCCTGTGACGCATGGTCCAGATGCTGCCCCCTGCTAAAATTTAGAGCCTCTGCCCTCTGTGTTCTCATTGAATTGAGTCAGAGCTGCCATCACACCTGGCTTTGATTAGGAAGTATTCGCTTAATTATACTAAGTGAGATAAGACAGGCACAGAGGGAAAATGTTGTATGAGTCCACTTACATGAATTATCTGGAATAGGCAAATACATAGAGGCAGAAAGTAGACCAGGGGGTGCTGGGGGGGGGGGGTGGGGAGGCTTGGGGAGTTATTGTTTAACAGGGATACAGTTTATGCCGGGAATGATGAAAGCTTGGGGTATAGATACTGGTGATGGTTACACAACGTTGTGAATGTGGTATTTCATGCCACTGAATTGTACACTTAAAAAAGGTTAAAATGGAAAACATTGTGTACATTTTTCCATAATACAAAAAGGTAACTAAAAAAAACAGAAAAGTTACATGTTTAATAGTTTTTTATAGATTGTAAGTTTGTGGGAATGGGGAGAAAACATGACTTTTTCGTCTTCACCCAGCCCGGTGCTTTGCATGAGATAATCACTCATTATTGCTTCAAGTCAGGAACGGAAATCAATGAAAAGAAGCACAGAATTCAGGCAAGATTTTCCCATACGTCTTAGCAATTTTTAAAATTTTATTTTATTGTTGGAGTGCCTGGGTGGCTCAGTCAGGTAAGCGTCCAACTTTGGCTCAGGTCATGATCTCACGGTTCATGAGTCCATGCCCCACTTTGGGCTCTGTGCTGACAGCTCAGAGCCTGGATCCTGCTTTGGATTCTGTGTCTCCCTCTCTCTCTGTCCCTCCCCTGCTCGTTCTCTGTCTCCCTCTCTCCCTGTCTCTCTATATATCAAAAATAAGTAAACATTGAAGAAAAAAGAAACAAATGTTACCGTCAAGTTGATTTTATCAGAAAGAACCTTCTGTAGTTGGAATTGTTTAATGGCATTGTCTCAAAAAGAAAACAAAAAACATGAAATTAAAAATTGTCCCAAACTGCTTTCTATTTTCTTAGTGTTTGCATTTATAGCATCAGTAGCATTTTAGCAAACTCGATTTGAATAGTAAGAACTTTCATTTATACAACACTTACCAGCTTTTCTGAGAGCTTTTTCAGCCCTTAGACCATTTGAAGTCACAGAAAGAGTCAACGTCATGTATAGCATTACTGAACAAATGTTTCTCCTCCTTCTCTGGTTCTAGATTCTTTCTTGCATAAGATGAAGTGTGTACATTAAGCCTTATTCTTACATATTTCAGTTCATATAATCCTTTTACTCTGCTGATCTGCAATTATAAATTATACAGTTTCGTGCTGCACATAGTCTTACAAGTTAGAAAAAAGCATAAAGGTCTTGATATGACTCTCATCCAAGATTAGGGTGGAGATATCAAGAGAGAGGTGAAATGTTTACATGAAGGGATAGGCAGGAACTGAGAAAATATCAGGTTACTGGGCTTTTTTGCCATGTTTTTAATTTTGGAAAATTGGTTGTTTTCATATTCTGTCCATAAACAACACCAGAGGGTATTTTCTACAGATGATTTTTGTGGAGAAGAAACTATAAATTTGGAGATATTTTCCTATGGAAAACAATCATGGATAAGTTTCTAAGATGTTGACCATTTGCTTCAAAGTAATACAGAGAGGGGAAGTAGAAGGGAGGGTAGAAATAAAACATGCTTGGCCACCAGCAGATGATTGTTGGAATAAGGTATTGGGTATAGAGGTGGTTTTATTATAGTATTTCCACTGTTTGTACGAATTTGAAGTTTGCCAAAAGAAAAAATTAAGGACAAAAAAGAAATAGATTCTGAAAGGAGGTAGCCGATGGTCTATTATTTCATACACCTGATGAGTTAATTCAGTGAATGGAGGGATTTGAAAATGAGGTACTTTTATTTGGCACAAGGCACTATCAAGATAATATCTTGAGAAGCAGCCTGTGTGGCTCTGTCAGTTGAGCATCCGACTCCTAACTTTGGCTCAGGTCATGATCCCAGGGTCATGGGATCAAGCCCCGTGTTGGGCTCTGTGCTGAGCACGGAACGTACTTGGGATTTTTTTTCTCTCTCTCTCTGCCCCTCCCCTGCTCGTGTGTACGTGCACGCATGCTCTCTCTCTCTCTTGAATAAATAAACATTAAAAAAAACCTGATAATATCTTGAAGGTTTATTACCAATCTATATTTGAAATCTGCATAGCTTAAAGAAGGTACATATTGACATATCGCCCCAAAATGTGTATGCGTATGTATACGCGCGCACACACATAAAACTAAACAAAAGTGAGTTTATGTCGGTTTGAGAATTTCTGATACCTGTTGGCAATGCAAACATACTTTAGTTGTCGCTGATCTAAAGACCCCAGGTAAGTAGTTAGGCCTGCAGGTGAGGAGGCTCCATGGGATTCAGAACTTTCTACCAGTCCCCTTTAATGCAGCGACCATGCATCTTTGCTTCCTGTGTTCAGTGTGTTCACTGGCAAAGTGATGTATACAACAGGGTACGTGGCACCAGGTTTCAAGGCTGGCTGCTTGCCACAGGTCACTTTACAGTACTTGGCCAGACACATGGCTCGTTGATGGTCATGAAGGGTTCTGCCTGGAGCCCTCACTGGTTCCTTTCAGGTAGTAACAGGAAGTAACTCTCCTTCCTGTTTTTACTGGACACACTTCAGGTGTGATTTTTTTTTTTCTCTCCTTTCCCTTAGATGTAGACCTCTCCTCTAGCTCAGATCTAGCAAGGTTAAGGGCAGCAGCACAGGGGAGAAGAGCTAGTTCACTGCCAGTTAAAACCAGTGAAGTACACGAAGAGAGGAAAGGGTGAAATGAGACAATTGCCTCTTTGCTCAGCATTGCTAGGGATCATTATTTCTCTTTTTATGCCTTTGGGCACCTCTCCTTCCCCCACCATTGCCAGACAATTGAGAGGCCTCTAATAGGCTGAAGGCAGAATCTGAGGAGTCATGGTTTCCCTTCCCGTATGATGTGCATTTCAAGAGGCCCTGAGCAGGAGAAATTAATGGCACACCTGGAAGGTAGAGTTCGTGCCTTGTTCGGCTTTGCGTCCCGGCACCCAACATGGTGCCTGGAACAAAGGAAATGACGATAAATGTTGAAATACAAACGTTTACTGGCAGAACTTCCATCCCTGTGAGACCGGCTTAGACTCATATTTAGCTATGGTCCTCCTTCAGATCGTACAGAACTTTGGGGGTCCTTCAGATCTTACAGGTAGGGATTGGGGCCCTACCCTTAAATGTCAAGCATTCCAGAGTGTTTCAGAAGTATAAATAACCCCACAAATGGGTGACGGTGGCATGTAGGAAAAGGAAAAACCCTTCATACTGTCTTAGAACGTTCTGGCATCACTTCACAGTTTGTGGTTCTTGAAATTAGTTAAGATCAACATCTTCTCTATCGCCAAGGAAGTGTGCCCAGGTCACTGAGTGGCCATCAGGTGCCAGACAGTAAGAGATACAGCTACGGGAGAGACAGACATGGTCCCTACCACCATGGGGCTCGGCTGCCAGGAAGGTGGCGTCATAAAGTACATTCCTGATGAGGTGTTCAACTGCAAGGAGCACCATGGGGGAGACGAGGGTGCTGGGCTCACCTGGTGAGTGCCGGTCAGGGGAGGCTTCTAGGAAGTGATGCTGGAGTGGAACACCTGGAGGAGGGTGGGGGGGAAGAACCAGGTGGGGATGGAGGGAGAGTGGTCCAGAGAAGGAGGAGCATCTGTACCAGCCCTGAGGCCAGAGGGAGCATAGGGAGTGGGAAGAACCGGAGTCCTTGTGGCTGGTGTGCAGGCAGAAGTGGGAAGGAGACTTGACAGCAAAGGATCTTTCCTGCTGGAGTGGCAGGTAATTTTCAGGAAGAGGAGTGGATTAACTCTTGACTCATTCCCCCTCCACCCCTCCCCACCCCCGCCCCACCATGTGTGCTCAGAGTCCTAATGTTGTTGCCCTACTCAGAGCTTCCGCTCGATGGTCACCCTCGGTTGTTTACAGCTTCGCCTTCTCTGTCCTCCTCCCTCTAGGTTATTAGGTTCCTGCATGTTATTTCGGGCCTGATCAACATTTCAAGCTAAACATGGTGGTGATGAGTATCCTCAGGGCCATTCTGCAAGCCTCTCCATGCAGGTCACCATGGAGAAGATTCCAGATCCCCAGCTCCGTGCCGGCGAGGCCCTGCAGCCTCTACACCTGCACGTACAAAACCCGGAACCGAGCCTGTGAGTACCCCGCTGCCTTCGAGAGAGCGAGAGGCTGGTTTCGTAGCAATCACGTGTGCCCTGTTTATCCACGTGCTGTCAGTGGCATTCCAGAGTGGGATTCTGTACCCTAAGAACCGTGAGAACAGCTACTTGTTTCTCTACTTGTCTTCTCAGATAAATGTGGAAAATTCTTTTCCCCCAGGTTCATTGAGATGTAGTTGCCACATAACATTGTATAAGTCGAAGTTGTGCAGCGTGGTGATTTGATACACGTATATTGCAAAACCGTCCTAAGGTTCAGAAAGTCCTTTCCTTGACCGATTCTAACATGTTCAAAGGATGTCGTGCCGAAATAGGACAAGGGAGATGTCCCAGTTTCCGGTACTCTGGAACCTGTTCTGTGCTGTTGTGGTTAGCAGTGGTCTTCTTACTTACGTGGATCCACAGACGGCGAATTCTCCCCGTGAATCTTAACGTTCTGCAAGTTGCGTATTCACGTTTGCCAGCAGGTCAGTGGCTTCGCGCTCTGGAATATTCTTTCCCGAGTCACAAACTGCAGACTTAATTCCAGCCGAGCAGCTTGCCAGCGTGTGCTCTGCTGTCAGTGCGGCATCAAGGGAGGCGGCAGATGGTCTCTCCTGACACCTCCCTCATCCCGTTCTTCTCCTGAGACACCAGCTCCCTGGCGCATCCCTGTGGTGCAGGGATTGTCCACCGAGGCACTACTGACCGGGGGGATGGGCCACTCTGTGACGTTGCACGTGAAGCGTGCACTGTAGGGTGATTAGCTGCATCCCTGCCCTGTATCCACAGTGGTCATCCACAGAGATGACAGTTGCACCCTCACCCAGTTAGAACAACCACAAATGTCAGCAGACATTACTAAATGAGCTCTGTGGGAGACAGAATTGCCCTGGTTAAAAATCAGTGGGACAAGAGGAGAGAATAAGAATGCATGTTTTTGTGGAGAGGTGAGTTTGAATTTGTGGAGAGGTAAAATGCCTAAGTATATTGTGAAAGAGGAATTTTTCATACTTCCTATTATCTTAAAGGAATTGACGCAGGGTTTTCAAATGTTGGTTTCCTCCTAAGTCTGGGTTTCTCTGCTTTTTCTCTCTGGGTTTTCTCTCTTTTGACATCATAAGCACATACTAAAAAAAGAAGGTAAGAAAGGAATGCTTTTATATCAGTAGCACTAATCTAGCTAAATCCAAGGACTTGAAACTTCTTCACAAATGCATTTTTATTATGAATTTACTTTGTTTCCTCTAACATTGACAATGCTCTCATTAAAATGAATTGGTCGGAGTCATAATAAATTTCTGGTTGCTGGGTGTGGCTTCCTACCAGCAGACCCACATCCTACTGGGACTGGCTTATTCTCAACACTGGCATTTTGTGGTCTGAGGCTTCAAATGGAAAAAAAGAGTCATATTTATGTAACTACCAAAGTTTTACTTTTTTTTTTTTTTTAACAGAGAGTTGAAAGATAAAGGTCTAGGGGCGCCTGGGTGGCGCAGTCGGTTAAGCGTCCGACTTCAGCCAGGTCACGATCTCGCGCTCCGTGAGTTCAAGCCCCGCATCAGGCTCTGGGCTGATGGCTCAGAACCTGGAGCCTGTTTCCGGTTCTGTGTCTCCCTCTCTCTC